GCATTAGGAAGGCTGACTTCCACTGATTTAGATCAACCCCCTGCAGTCCTGTGGCTGAAGAGAGGATTTCCTCTTTCTCCTTTGTTAGTCTAATAAGCAAGGTGTGTGCTAAGCGATTTAAAAACCACCTGCGAGTAGCGATGACAAGCAGTGACTGTTCTGAGTTCACATAAGCCCAGGTGACTTTGACATTCTTCCAAGGAGCGAGCCAGGAGAGAGCTCCCATTTCCATGGAGGAGGATGGGACGAAGGGCCACCGGGCTCTGCTCAGCCCCGGAGAGGAGGACGAAATGGTGAGTCTGCCTTCTTCCTACCCTCTTCTCCCCAAGTCCCCCTGGCTGTGCCAAGGGCTTCTGTGTTCAGCTCATTTAAAAGGCAGGCTGTGGCACCAATGATCTTTCATTTCCTTGGAGACAGATAGGTGCACATTCTTTGCAGAAGAACCGGAGGCACTGAGCAAGCTGTGACTCTTGGGTGGTATCGGGCATGCTGAGCGCCCGACGCTGCTGCTTTCCGCACAGTAGTACTCAGGATCGCACCCCACAGGGGGCGTTTTGTAGCCAGAGTTTCCTTCTTTGTTGTCAGGGTCACCAGATAATTGGACTCACTTCGTTGACCCTGGAAACTTTTCCTTATCATTCTCATGCTTCTGGTACATTCTCATCGTTTAAGATCAGGCTATGTCTAGCTAAAGGCATGCTTTTGCCCCTAAGAAGAATATAAAGCCGTTTTAAGCATCAAGCTCGCAAAAGGAGAGCATGGTTTGAAATTTTAGTATATAAGCAATAGTTCTCATGTCTCCAATTTCCAGCCCCACCTCGCTCCTTTCATGGGACATTTCTAAATCTCAAAGAAAAAATTAAAAACTGGAAAATTCCCGAGCTTCTATTTGATACCAGGAGTTTGTATTTATTATTTTATGTAATCCTCACAATTGAGTGGTGAAAGGATTAATCCTATTCATATGAGAGAAATCTGAGAGCAGGGAGGCTAAATTACTTTCCCAAGGTCATCCAGCCTGTAAGGGGCAGGGCTGGGACCCTGTCCCTGGCTTTTCTCATCCACATACACTTGACAGTATGGGGCTTGGGGAGAGGGAAGAGGGGAGGGTGGAGAGAAAGAAAGAGTGAGCAGGAGGGCTGGAAATAACTTAGAAAATACAGTTTCCTATATCAAAAGGGTATCCGCTTCTTGTCCAACCTGCCAGGTTTCCTGTGAGATCCATGGAGCATGTGCATACACCCTGATTCTCCCATCCTTTCTCCGGCCTCCCTTACTATCATTAGGAAATTCAGTGACTTCCCCTGTGTCTGTTCTGTCCCATAAGATAGCCATTAGCTATTCCATTTTTGTTGATGTTAATTATTTGCTTGTTTTTAACTTTTGTGTTCTTATTTTTACAAGCATCGCAACTCTCAATTTCTAGATTTATTCCTTCACCACCAACACAAACTCTGTCCATTTCTCCTTTTTTTCCAGCCCACGAATCTACTTTCTGGCTCTATGCGTTTGCCTCTTCTAAATATTCATATACTTGGGATCATACCATATACAATATTTATTCTTTTGATGCTGGCTTGTTTCTCTCAGCATAAAGTTTTCAAAATTTATCTGTGTTGTCCTTGCATCCAGATTTCTTTTGTGGGTGAATAATGTTTCATATGGATATTTGATGCATATGCCACACCTGATGGCAGTGGTTTGGTTTGGGTAGGTTACCCGTTTCTCTGGTGAGGAACTTTTGGTCGTTCCTATCTATTGTTAATAACGTTGCAACCAACGCCGATGAGCTGTGTGAGTCTTGTGGGTACGTAGAAAAAATGGCTCATTGACCTTTTGAGGAAACACCAACTTATTTTCTACAGTAGCTGCACTATTTCGCATTCTGACCAGCACAGATCAGCATTCCAGTTCCCCTGCATCTTTGGCAATGTTTGCTATTTTTCAGTCACAGCCATCCTAGTGCATATGAAATGCCATCTCCTTGAGGTTTTGATTTCCATTTCTCTGATAATCCAATGCCATTGAGTAGGCTTCCAGGTGCTTATGTATTCTTTGTGGATAGTGTTCTTCGTGTGGTTGGGGGCACATATGATTTGAGGGCACTGTCAAAGTAGCCAGAAGGAATTGACATGTGCTTCAAGTGTAGACTGCGTGCTGGGTATTGGGGACGTAGTAGGGAAACATAATATCAATTATAAATATAATATAAAATAATTAATATAATATAATATAAAATATCTTGCTCTAGGCCAAGATAGAACTGCCCCTGTGGATTTCCAAGACTGTAACTATTTATGAGACTAGAGAGCCTCCTCTTTCTCCCCTGGAGTGGGTAGTGGTTTGGAACTGCTGCCCTTGCTATTAGCAGCCAGAAGTTTAACCCAGGATGACACCAGGAATTTACAAGCATGGCTCACATTCTGGGCTTGCATTCTTAGACAGAGATGATCTAGACCAATGGTTCTCAACCTTCCTAATACTACGATCCTTTCATATAGTTCCTCATGTTGTGGTGACCCCCAACCATAAAATTATTTTCACTGCTACTTCATAACTGTAAGTTTGATACTGTTATGAATCAGGCAACACCTGTGAAAGGGTCACTCGACCCCCCCAAAGGGGTCGTGACCCACAGGTTGAAAACCAACCCCTGATCTAGACAATGACACGAGCATTTTATTATTACTTTTTAACTTTCTGTGGAGAGTTGTGTGAAAGTTTACATAGCAAATTGGTTTTCTATTCAACAATTTTCACACGTTTTGAATTGTGACTTTGCTCACTATCCACTCAACGTAACAATACTCCTGCACCGGAGCCCCCATTTCCATTCATCCTTTCTCCCTGCCCCTTCCAGCCTTCTGAGCTTTGTTTTGGGGGAAATGCTGCCCATTTGGTCTTGGATGATTGATTGTTCTGAGTTGCATGTTTCTCCCTGATGTGAATCACTCTACAAGCCTTTGTATTGCTTGGGAGAGGGTTGGTTCAGTTGCTGCTTTGAAGGAGGTCTAAGGACCACAGTCTGAAATTCCACCAGTCTCTAATAGACCAGTGAGTCTACCTTTTTAAAAAAGATTTAAATTTTTCCCCTTTCTTCCACTTCCTATTCTGCCCAGGGCCTTCTATTGTGATGCGGATCTTTGGGGAGCAGTAGTAGCTAGTCCCATCTGGTCCTTTCAGTGTTGGGATAATGGAAGCTATTGTTCTGTGCATTCCATGAGTCCTTTGGACTAAGTTTTTCCTTGGGCCTTTGATTTTTATCACTCTTATTTGCTCTGGACAGGTAGAGATCAACAGGTGTGTCTCAGACACTTGCTCATGACCCAAATGCTTTAGAATATTCAGACTGAGCGTCAGAGGATAACAATCGACTTACTCCTCCTCTTCACTGTTAGCATCCCGATGCTTTTGCAGCACATAGAAATCTCTCCATGGTGCTCTAGTCTTCTCCCACCAGGAGCTGTATTTGTAAAGCATGCAGACACATATTTAAATTCACATAAGCACAGAGAAGGGATGATGTCTCAAAAGATTCAGTAACATGTCAGGTTCCAGTTTCTTTTTCCCTGATGCTGATCAAATATTTTTAGAGACATCCACCCCAAAAAAGTCATTAAGATTCCCTGCAAGTGCTTCTCTCGTCTTGCGGGGTGTGTTGGGGAGAGGGGGGTGGCGGTCAATTTCCTTTTCACCAATCTTACTTGTGTACTGTGGGCAGGTATGTAGTAACCTCAGGTGCACAGCTAAAGAGAAAGCTGTTCATTAATGCCTGGCAACACTGTCTTTAGGTCAACAGATCCAGTGTGGTCAGGTCTTTTTTTTTTTAGGTAAACGTATATATAGCAGATCATCTGGCTTATGTTAAGCTATTCACAATATTTTTTTTTATTTCAACTCATTCATTGCAAACTCCTCCATGTACCATCTCTTACACCACCTCCTCTGTATGGTTCATATTTCTGTTTCTCATTCTTTCCTGACCCTCTAAACTTTGTGCGTTGAGTAAATACTGCTCTTGTGATCACAAGTGATTGTTTGTTCTGAGGTTTGTAGCTCTCACTGGGGCTTTGTTCTACCTTATAGACCTGTTGTTGGGCTGAAAACTGAGCCATAAAAGTTGGGGTGGTGCTGTGTTGAGTTAGGGTGATGAAAGGACAGATCTTTAAAGTTTTTTATTTGTGTGTGTGTGTGTGTGTATGAGTGAAAATATCCACACTAATTGTTACAGATTAAATTGTGTCCCTTAAAATATGTGCTGTAAATCCTAACCTTTATGCCAGCGATTGTATCACTTGGCAATAGATTATTTCATTTAGATTTATGGTACAGGATTAGTGCAGGGTATATTTTGAGTCAATTTCTTTTTAGTTCTAAAAAGAGGGTAAGTAAGCAAACAACCAGAAGAGGTATGGTGAGATAGATTCCAAAACACACGGAGGCCTGCAAGGAACCAGCAAACAGAAACTGAAGACACAAAAGACGTTCTCCAGAGAGAGCATGTATGAGGTCAGGTTCTCTGGAAAAGCAAAACCATCCATGGTTGGATGTGTTGTATATAGAAAGAAATTTATATCAAGAAATGTCTTAGATGGTTGTAGAAATAGGGAGGCCCCGTGAGGTTCCAGTCTGATTTCTCCTGACGTGTGGAAGGCTGATGAGCAGGGAGCAGGATGACAAAACAACGCTTGCAGGGGTGCAGGCTGGTGGAGGCAGATCCGCAGCTCGCCCAATGAATCCACTGTTGGTAGTCTGCTAATGGGTCCTGGGATCCACAGGTGATGCAACAGTACATTGAGAAACCAGCTGCGAGATTGAGCTCCAGCAGAAGGTGAAGGGCCAAAGAGGATTCAACCTTGCTTGGTCACTCTCTTAGACAAAAAGGTTTTTGACACCAAGGAAGTGCCATCAGGCTGCGACACAATCGATAGGTTGAATTCCACCTCTACCCTTACTCAGGAGTGTCTAGCTGGTATCATCGCTAGCCGTCCATCTGTGGTATTCTGGAATAACAGCACTATGTAAGTGACCAGCATACACCATTTCAACAAGGGTTCTCGAGTTGTGTCATCATTCACATTCTCCCTTTCTGAGCTGTTCCACCACCCTTGACTTAAACTCACTGCCCACTACTCTTCTTATCTAATCCCCCCAGTTGCTGTGGTTACTTTGATCCCTCATAGCTAAATCCTTAAAAAGAACAAAAGCAAATGGTGCTCAAGGTAGGTATACTTATTAAGACAATTGTTTCCCTTATTTGTTCAAAGAAAATTTCACTTTTGATTTACGGTTT